TAGTGCGGCGCGCGCTCGTACATGCGCTCGGAGTCGTAGATGCGCTCGCGCGCGTAGTAGCGCTCGCGCTCGTCCGCCGCGCGCGGGTAGCGCCCGCGGTACATCGGCCCGTACGCGCGGCTGCCCACATACATACATCATTATAACGATAAACTTCCACACTATCCTCTACGTCTATGCTAAAGTTAATCGAGTTTCATTCAGCTGTTTAGACCACAAACTCTAACAAACATCCATCCATCTAAACTTTCGCACTTACATATTTGTAAAATTAGGTGATAATCAGTTGATTTTAGTAAGAATAAAGTAAATAAACACAATATGTAACGATATATTTAACCTTCATCCTGAGAAATATACATATCTAAATAATGTGTATTTTATCAATATTATAAATCCTGATTTTTGTGTCTAAAATTTACTGCGTAGTCATCGGATAACAACTGGTATATTCTAGTTTAAGACACTTTAATTTTATAGTAAGAATAGCTTTTTTCCTGGACTTTGAGCAAAATCATTAACAGTTTAGTAAGAGTTCTTCCAAACAATAATCCACTCTGTGCTAATTCATAGCGATCAGTTAATCCGTTTTGGAAGATACATAGATACAAAACATCTTTAATACAATATTAATGATGTTGTATCGGTATTGAGTGGTAAGGTGTAGCCTGTGCACCTGTAGATGTCGGTGTCGCGGTGCGCGGGCGCGTCGTGCGGCGGGGAGGCGCCGACGGCGGCGGCGGCGTACGCCAGCTCCGCGTCGGGGTCGTGCACCACGCCGCCCACCGACAGGTGCAGCTTCTTCTCCTCGAAGTCCATGTCCTGCTCCTTGCGCTTGTTCGCTATCCTCAGCATCTAATTAAACATTTTATACACGTTACACAATCTTCTTGACCAAATCACCACCTAGCATGTGAAAAAGTCAATCTGTGTATTTTAATCGGATTAAGAACTATGGATTACCATATGAAATATATAAAGTACAGTGAAATTAAAAAGTCATACCTCTTTAGCAGTCCGTAATCCTCTTTCCCAGGCTGACTCTGGTGGAGCGACGTCTCTGGGAGGCGCTGTGTACGGAGCCCCCGTGGGAACTCCGCGGACCACATCAAACATATTGTAGTTGCCTTTGTCTGTCACCCCCGGGTGAAGGAATCTGAAAACAACAAATTAGATCATAAGGAAAATATAAATATGCAACATCACACACACTCAGTCTCTGAACAAATTATGAACTTTTTAATTTAATTAAATTTGACCTAAAACCAATACATACTTGCTGTTTATCTACTGTCTTTTTCTTTTTTTTAAATCAAAAAGCCAAAAACATTTGCATAAAAT